CAAGGAGCGATTTTCTTTAGGAAACAATTCTACTAAAAAACAACAAGGAAATAGAAGTAATTAAAAATGTTCAAGACATTAAATGCAGGACTGACTCCAGATTGCCATTTAATATGCTTTGTATTATAGGATATAAAATCTAACCCCCCATCTATGGAATGTTAAGCTGACACCTGAGACAGTCAAAGTCTCCCATAATTCAATGTCCCACGCTATTTTCTGGTTGTACCAAAAAAATAATAATAACAAACAACCAGCGAATGATTTCACCTCTAAAAAAAAGCATTTACACTTAAAAAATGGGATGAGGTGGGATTCCCGCCTTCTTAAAAATGTTTCTAGAGCTACTAAAACACTTGCATTTACAAAATAATTGATAAGAAATAGTCCTCTGGATTGCACAAGAAGAGAGAAAGGGACCGCTGATAAGACATGGTATACGGTATTAATCAGACTTGGTTTCTTTCTCTCCTGCTTCATCAGAGGCTGGACTCTCCTCAGTTTTCATTTCCCTGTTTTCTGCAGGTAAATCTTCTTGAGTTTCTTAGTTTGCCACTTTGGCCTGTTTTCCCTTTGCTCCCCTTTTCCCTTTTGTTTGCACTTTTTTGTCTGAAGATGTATCCTTCGCTGCTGCATTTTTCAGCTTCGCTTCCCCTTTTGCGAGAGCAGGTTTAGCTGGCAAGTGCGCCAATCTCCTCTTGGGCTCTTTCTTGGTGGTCCCTTCATGTCCTTCCTCTTGGGCATCCTGGTGACGAGGAGGGTGCATGCCAGGTGCCTGCAGGCCTCGTCGCACTGAGAGCCTTTGGGAAGCAGGGCTGCCTGGCCGCTGCCGCTCCTCTCGCCGCCCAAGCTGCTGAGACCCACCAGAAAGCTTCTTAAGAAAACCTGTGACCAGGCATGGTGGTTCATGCCTGTAATCCCAGCACTTTGGGAGGCAGAGGCGGATGGATCACAAGGTCAGGAGTTTGAGACCAGCCTGGCCAAGATGGTGAAACCTCATCTCTACTAAAAATACAAAAATTAGCCGGCTGTGGTGGCATGTGCCTGTAATCCCAGCTACTGGGGAGGCCAAGGCAGGAGAATCGCTTGAACCCGGAGCTGGAGGTTGCAGTGAGTGGAGATCGGCCACTGCACTCTAGCCTGTGTGACAGAGCAAGACTCTAATCTCAAACAAACAAACAAAACCTGTATTGCAGGCGAGCCAGGCATGGTGGCTCATGCCTGTAATCATAGCACTTTGGGAGGCCAAGGCGGGTGGATCACCTGAGGTCAGGGGTTCAAGACCAACCTGGCCAACATGATGAAACCCCGTCTTTACTAAAAATACAAAAAATTAGCTGGGCGTGGTGGCAGACACCTGTAATCCAACTGCTCCAGAGGCTGAGGCAGGAGAATCACTTGAACCTGGGAGGCGGAGGTTGCAGTGAGCCAAGATGGTGCCATTGCACTCCAGCCTGGGCAACAAGAGTGAAACTCTGTCTCAAAAAAAAACAAACAAAAAAAAAACAAAAAAAAAAACCTGTATTGCCCCCAAAATATCAATACTAATGCCAATGTGACCTCATTTGTCCTCATTAGCTGGTGGAGCCTGACGTGTATTTGCGGATGACAAAAAAAAAAAAAAAATGAACCATGTGATAAGTATAGAATTCGAGATATGCTTGAGGATTTGTATGAATATCTAGGAAGAGAAAGGCCAGGAAGCCCTGCCTGCAACCCAGGTAAGCAGAATAAAGGTTGTAAGTACAGAGAATAGATAACAGATCTGAGAAATATTTACAGGTTAAATTCCATAGTATTGGCAATTGTAGATGACAAGGAAGAGGAAGGGCTCGAGGGTGAAGACCAGATTTCTATCTTAGGAGATGACAAAGTGGGTGATTCCACTTATAACCAACAAAACAAAAGCTTTGGAGCTTCTGGGGTGATAGTGGTGCTGAGTGTAACAGACTTAAGCGCTGACTTTAAGGCAAGGGACCACATCAAGGTTTCTCAACCTTGCCACTATGAACATATTTGACCACACAATTATTTGTTGTGGGCATTATACAATATTTAGCAGCATCCTTGACTTTAACCTACAATGCCAGTACCAACCATCCCCCCTACATGTGACAAAACCAAAAATATCTCTAGACATCGCCAAATATTACTAGAGGAGACAGAATCTCTCCCTGGTTGAAAATCACTGAGGTAAAGAGGACTGAGAAAGAGCCTTTCAGGCAGAGAAAACACTAAGAATAAAGGTATGTGACAGAAAACAGCACCAGGGTTTAGAGAATAATAAGCAGTTTCATATCATTTGCAGCATGACACCCAGTTAGAAAGATATAAGAGAAGGGTACTGTGAGGCAAAAGCCATTCGCAAAAAACCTTGACTAGCTTATTGTGCTAAATAGTCACCACTTGGTCCTCCAGGACTGGGCCGCCTGCTCTGTTCCCCAAGAGGCTGACTTTTGTGGGTGGCATCACAGAGAATCTCTTGCCCTTTGACTAGCAGTTAGGTTGGACCAATGGGAGGCATTGGCAAGAGATTGGAGGGTGGGAGTAGAGAGAGGTGGGGTGTTTATCTGCAAGGCTTCCTCTCTGCAGGTCTGTGATATGGCAAAGGCTACACTCCCCTAAGTTTACGGCACCTTTCCAAGGACACCTCCTTCTTGGTTCCAGCTCTTATGAGATTCTGGCTACACCATTCCTTTTACACATCCCTCCTACAACCCAGTGTGGTAAAACTTTTATAATGTTGCTGGTTCCTGAGCGCCTCACTAGGCCTTTTACTTTATTTTACCCTGCCAAAACTTCTGTAAATAGTTTCTTCATTAGTTTGTCTTCAGATACACCTTTATGAGTATGGCATTTAATTCTTCCCAGAAGCCTAATACAAAGCAAATACTAAGACTTTATTCTAGGATTGATGAGAAGCCATTCAAGATTTCAAGCATAGATGTAAAAAGGCAAGTTCACCATTTTATATTTTTCATCTCATAATTGTGAGTAGCATAGATTTCAGGGGTAAAATATTCGCTTCAGGAAAACCATTGAGGAAGATTTAGCAATAACCCAGGTAAGAGATGATGATTATCTGACCAGAATAAAGGTAGTAAGTACAGAGAATAGATGACAGATGTGAGAAATGTTTAGAGGTAGGCTTGGCATGGTGGCTCAGGCCTGTAATCCCAGGACTTTGGGAGGCCAAGGCGGGTAGATCACATGAGGCCAGTGTAATGTAATGGGGAGCCAAGCAAGAAGACATGAGGCAGATGAGAACAGAGGTAGCCTTTACTGGGCTTGTGGGCAAGGTTCACCGGTCTCCTAGGAGGAAGGCCGAGGAAGTCGCCCTCGGGGTGGGTATTGGGGGCCTTTTATAGGGCGAAGTAGGTGGGGTTTGTAGGTTTCGGTTTCTGAGGAATGACGTGTCCAGGAGCTTGCACAGAGTGGGGGTTTTTTGGCGGAGGTGGGCTTTTTTGGCACGCTGAAAGTCTTAGCAGGAAGTGAAGGGCTGGAAGTCCTAACAAAGGGCCTGCCATGCTGGGTGATACCACCATGTTGGGTCTAGATTCCTGCCTAACAGCCAGGAGTTCGAGAACAGCCTGGTCAACACAGCAAAACCCCATCTCTACTAAAAATACAAAAATTAGCCAGACATGGTGGTGCACATCTGTAATCCCAGCTACTTGGGTGGCTGAGGCCCAAGAATTGCTTGAACCTGGGAGGCGGAAGTTGCAGTGAGGTGAGATCATGCCATTGCACTCCAGCCTGGGTGACAGAGGGAGACTTTGTCTCAAAAAACAAAACAAAAACAGAAGACAAAAAACATGTTAAGGGGTTAAATTCAGCAGTATTGGCAATCGATAGAAGGTCAATGCCAAGAAAGAAGAAGGAAGGGCTCGACAGTGGTGGCCCTTCTATCTTAGCAGACGACAAAGTGTGTAATTTCTATCTTGGGAGATGATAGACTGGGTGATTCTGCTTATAACAAACAAAACAGAAGCTCTGAAGCTTCTGAACACAAGAGCAGAAGAGAATTTACTGAGGAAAGAATGAGTCAGTTTTCGCCAGGTTGAGTTTGATATGTCTGTGGGACATCCAAATGCGGATGTTCAGCAGCCTGTTGCATATTCAAGCCCGAAGCCTGGGAAAGTGCTCTGTACCTTAGGTAGATTTTGGAATCTCAACTACAAATGGTTGTTGAAATTTCAGGATTGGTGTTAGGCAACACAGGCATTCCAAGAATGGGCAGAGAAAAGTTGATTATAAGGACAACAGAGGAGGAATGGCCAGAGATGTACATAGAGTCACAAAAGCGTGTGCTCAGCCCAAATGCCAAAAAAGTGAAGAGTTAGAAAAAAGGAGTTATCTAGATGGTGAATTGTAGGAATATCAAGTGATCTGGGTACAATACTCCATCTCCAGTTAGGGGCAGTATAGGAGCTATTGGATTTGGCACTTTTCTTACAGATTTGTTGCAGGTATCAACAATATGTAAATTTTCCAGCACAGTGACTAGCACATGGTAAACATTGGATAATTTTTAGTTAAGTTTTCTAAAACCATTTATAAAAGTTCACACAATATAAACAGTAAGTACTAAATGTCAATTTTAAAAGGTAATTAGAAATTTTTTAAATTTTATTGTAACTTAAGATACCAACTTAAGTTAGAAAAAATTAGAACAGGCATCTAAAAAATAAAGACTTTACCACTTCGGTGAACAAGTGGTCAGATTAAGCAACACTTCATAGGCTACAGACTTCTAGTTAAAGTTGGGTCTTGCTGAGTAAAACAACAGTATCTGCAGCAGCCGAAGCTGAGGGAGATCTTATCAAACAGAAAGTGGTGACTATTTTATGGTAAAGTATATAAGGCATGGCCAGTTGGCAGATTCTCCATAGATATAATAATGCTAATTCTGTAAGACTCTTAAACATTATAGACCAGGAAATACCAGTGTTAATATCTGTAGGCTTGATAAAATCTGTGCACATTTTGAGAGTATTTACCTTTTGATGTAAACCTAACTGGCACATGACCTCCTTGGATATGCAGGGTTTTCCTTTTGCTTTCTTAGAAGACAGGCAAATGAGCAGATCCCAAGAGCCCAGATCACCTAAAAGCAAAAGAATATTCAAAACAAATAAGTTTTCATCAGATATTTTAAAGGCAATATTTAAATCTTCAGATAAAAAATGTAATTAGTTAAATTCTAAAACACAAGTAAATGATCTCAAATATACTTAAGACAAAAAGTCAATAAAATAACTAAAATTCAAATTTTAAATTTTGGAAGTTCTAATATTTCTATATTTAGTATTCTATTCTATAGAAAATTTAATTGTCTAAAGACATAAAATTCATTTAAAAGATTGAAATTAGAATACCTTAAATCACTTATTTTAAAAATTAATAAAGTCTTTTTTATAGATTTGGGAGGAAAAATAATAAAATCTTTTAAGATAGAAGAAAGTTGTGAAATCAAATAATGATAAGAAGTGAAAACATCAAATATTTTGTTCCAGGCTTGGATACTCCCACTATTTTTCACAGATCTAAACGTCAAATATCAAATTTACGTTTGTAATGTTTCATAAAAGAAAATGTAATAGGCAGAAAATAAAATTCAATGAAAATAAAAACAACAGGTTTTGCATAAAAGAAATTTGTAATCTAGTTATACACAGCAGAGTTCAGTTCAAACTGTGGAGTATAACACGGGTGAAAGCAAATGATATTTCAGCTATTTCACCAAGAACAAAACTCTTTGCCAATAAATCATACGAACTTGCCAAAATAATCTCAGAAGGGTACATTCTTGCCTAATCTCTAAACATTTTAAAGTTAACATTTGTGTAACTTTATTCGCTTTGATTTTATATATATTGTTATATATATTGCTATATATCTATATATCTAAATCTACATATAGATACAGATATAGATCACATGCCCTACGTATAATTGGTGCTTTAAAAATATTTCTTGAATAATGCATGAATAACTACTCCTTGAGAGCATGGTAAACACATTACCTCATGGAGAAAAAGCAAAAATAAAAGCAACAGAAGAAATGTATTTCAATTTTTAATGTTATTCAGAGACAATATAAAAATAGGCATCTCAAAAATAACCAGAAAAAAACCCCACTGGGTAATGTCTAAATGAACTGGTATTACTTAGGAAATAGTCCTTATTTTGGATGAAAATCCAATTCAAAAAACAATTAAGCAATTCCTATATATATCACCCCTTTTGTTGATCAATCATGGGATAAATATTCGAGTGATTATTCATGCCAGACCTCACCAGTCATCTCCTGCATTAGGTCTAGTAGCTTCTAAAAAGCCTAGAAGCAACCAACTTCTTTAATACCTCTCTTTTCAAATTTTTTCAGAATTTCTCACTTGAGAAGCATAATATTTCCAAAAAACAGCTTTACAAGAAAAGTATTAATAAGGAAGAGGTATCTATGACAATTAGAAATGAAATTTCACTCCCCACCAATCACAAGTCCTGTGCTTTTCAACTTCACAAGTCCTGTGCTGTCTGGGCTACTGGTTCCCCTGTTTTTAATTGTCCTGTTGCTGGAAGGGAAACCTTTCTACCAACAAAGGAGTCCAGGCAATTGAATCAAGCTCTTGTCCTAGAACTTCTCTGTTTGTCTGATGTATCTCAAGATGCTGGAAGACAGCACAATAAGGCAAAGGTGCAAGGAGAGGAGCAGCAGCTGATTTGGGGATGAGAGAAATCTCATCATGTAGCAACACGGCCTTAGGCTTGCAAGATCTACCCTGTTCCATACACTCTCACTTTCAAGAAAATTTCCCATCGATTCCTATAGACAAAACCAAATACTATATGATGATTCCAATACTTTATTTTAAAAGTGCATCTGACTTTTTCATCCCAAACTTTTTGATTTGGATTCAAAGCGAAACACAAAGACTGTTTTATTCTATATCATTTCTAGCCCAGGAAATGCTAGAACCCTAGAAGAAACTTCCTGTCATATGATTCCCAACTAAATATTTTAAGAAGATAAAGATATGCAAAGAGCGATTTCAAATCATGACCTGCGGCGTTTTGGTCTCGGAGTAAGTTTTATATTCCTCCACGTCTAAAGCATACCCTTCTTCACTATTCAAGGCACATACATCATTTCTAGAGTTGATAGAAATATATATTTAAGCCATAAATGTTTAAAATGGAAAGACACATTTAAATAATTCAAAGCATTGAATTTATTAAGAATCTTCTATGAACAGAACATTGTACTCAAAGTATGAAAGTAAATAGAAAAGAAAAAAGAGCAGAAAGTCACTGCCCTCAACAATCTCTTTGAGGGATCAAATTAAAAACAAAGTGGGAGAAAGTAAAATAACTTACACAGCATTACACAGCTTTTTGGCATTCATAAGGGTGACCCCCTCATCGCTCAAAGATGTTTAATTAATATTTTAAATTAATAATTTAAAAATAGTGTATAGTCCACAAATCTCCTCTTAAAATGAAGTAAAGTGTAACTGAAATTTCAAGTAATATCTTCATACACCTTCTTCCCGAATGCTTGCTAGCACAGTTTAAAAACGCTGATTGTTTCCACTCAAAACCCTCACTGTTACCCACATTGAATCCCACCTCAATGTCCCCAAAGCTATTTCCTAGTTACACATTTAGTAGACCTTCTCACTTTGTCTTCATTTCTATTTCCAACATTGGAAGTCAACTCCCTCCCCTGCTTTCCAAAGCCCTTTTTCTTTTTTTAATGAAGTTTTACTTGTTTCATGAGAGGTACCATGTATTAAAATTTAGTTAAAGAAACCCTAAAACCACATTGAAATGTAGAAACTGGGCCGAGATCAAAGCACTTTCACTAGCTAAGTAAATCACATTGAGAAGTTAGCCTTGGAGCATTTGGGATACAAATTTGTACCTCAGCACAATGACAAATTACTATATATTGTGGGACTTTGGAGCCACATTTCACAGCTGAAAGCATGAGCATTTAGGAGGCCAATGCCCTAGGTCTCCAGCAGCGACTGTAAACTAAAAGCACACAGGCAAGTCAAGCCCTCAGACGGGATACACCTGGCCTGCACAGCGTTTGTTTTGTTTTTGTTTTAAGTATTTGCCAAAATGCAAATGTCAGCACAATTCACATAGAAAATTCCAATTTCAGCCTTTATTTGAAAACTTGGAAGCTCTGGTAACACTGGGTCCATATCCTACAAGGCAGTGACTGGCTGGAGCCACTCCCCACATGTTCTCCAGTTTGCGGTGGTCTGTTACCCCCACACCTGGCCCTAACTCTGCTTGGGCTCTATCTCTGATAGCAGCACACCATTCTAGACCTGGCATAAAACAATAGTGTTCCACGTTTCCATGAGCTGGCCATTTGACAAATTGATGTTCCGTGTATTAGCTTTTAATGAATTAGAGTTGTTCATTAGATAAATTGGTTTTATTAAGATAACATCAGGCAAACTGCTATTTGGTTAATTAGTCCTAGAGGGATGTTTGAATCTACCCTTTGATCTCTAGATTTATCATGCTATTCCATAAGATTGGGGAAGGTCATTCAACTCCAAGGACATTTTGTTGGTTACATTAAAGGTGGTAAGGGCTGCAACTCTTAGGGTTCTTTCCTTTCAGAGCCTGGAAAAATCAAGAGTGGTCTCTGATCATCTTTTTTTCTTACATCTCTTCTTCCCAGTTTGGGTGCAAAAGTGGCTCAGAATCTGCTCCTGCTTGGGCCTTGCCTCACCTCTTTTTCATTCACTCTCTCATTAGACTGTTTTCCATGTTGCGCCTGTCTCAAGGCTGTTGCCATACTTGTAAATGGCCTAGGACAGGCTCTTTCTAAGCACTGGAGTAAATGCTCGTTGTTTGTGTCTACTCAATGTGCTTTTTCTGCACCGAGAAGGTTGACATTAGAGTAAGAAGTGCTAAGACATCAGATTTGTGTTAGCTGAAAATAGGCAAAGCCCCTGGTCAATTTGGATAGTGACTTCTTAGGTTCTCCTGGCATGGGGAAAAGGACATCCCTATGTGATTTAGCCTTGCTCTTTAGAATACTGCATTAGGATTTGGGGGCCAAAGCCACTACGAATAAATGAGTAGTAGAAATAGTAGTAACAATGATGTCAACAGCTAATAGTACTTCAGAACTTACAATGTGCCAAATATTGTTCCACGTATTTGTATTATCTCATTTATCCCATACAATAATCTATTTTATATGATTATTCTATTTTTTACAGGCACAGAAAGGTTAAATAACTTCCCCAAGGTCACCCTTCCAGTTAGTGGTGGGAAGAGAATTTGGATACAAACAACTAGTTCTAGTGGCCATGTCCTTGAACATTACACCATTATCTCCTTTGAAAACAGGGAAGCAACAAATAAATTTAGCTATTGATGCCTTACATGTATTAATTTATGTAATATTTCCAACAACCCTGTGGAGTAGAAACAATTTTTACGTGTTATTACATGTACTTTACATGTGAGGAAACAGACACAGAAATTATCCAACTCTAGCCTTTCTCTCCACTGTCCAGTGCATCTGTTTTTCTTTGGAAGCTCGGAGGAAGAAATAACTACAGCAGGTATAACTCAGGTATCCCTAGACCCTCACCTAGGTATTGTGCCCCATCATACTATTGGCAATACCACTGGTAATCAAAGTTAAATCTTCCTATACAAAAGGAGCTAGTATTTACCTCACAGGTACTCGGGAACTAGAAATATGTACCTGAACTCTATCTATTTTTGAAAATATATCCCTAAAACTTTCTTAGTTTTTTTTTTTTTTTTTAACTGTTAAAATTATTTCTTTCCCTGTAGCAGAGAAACCAGAACTTCCTGATCAGGCTTACCAAGGTCTTAAATAGAAAGGTCATAGGGCATAATTCTAGGAAAACAGGATGTGGATGCTCCAGTCCCCATCTCAGAATTACAGAAATGTGAAAAACCTACAGGCACCTCCCAAACTCTCAGAAGCAAAACTGCTGATAACACGAATCACTCTTATGCCTTCATAGTGTTATCTCTGGAAAAGACACAAACTTCTCAGACAATTTTGGAAGGAAATGTCAGGATCCAGATCAATTA